CCCAGGAATCCCAACTCCTGCACCTACTTGGACAAGTCTCATCGCCCCGACAGCCCTCACAGCCTCAAAGTCACAGCCCTTCTGGATGTGTGAGGTGGGTGCCAGGTCCCCACCCCACCTGCTGTGGCTTCCTACACCCCCGGACTGGGGGGAAGCACAGCGAGTCCTACTGTGCTGGGAGAGTCCAGTCACATCACCTCCTTACCTAAAACCCTTCAAGCTCAAGTCCAGACTCCTTTTTAAGAGAAAGCCAAAGGCCAGCACAACAGCCCCTTTTGACGTGATCTCCTGCCTCCTCCTAGCTCCCCGTCCTCCCCGCCACATGGCCATCCACGGCCTCGGGCTTTCCTGCCTCAGAACCTCTGCAAGCTGCTCAGCACACTCTTCCCGCTCTCCCGCCCCTTTGGGATGACCTTCCCGGGGCTCCTCCATGCAGCTTTCCCCCTGCACCGCCAGCACCAGGAGGCCAGAACCACCTGGCATTTTCTATTTTACCCCTAGCGACTGGTGTCTGCATGGCCATCAGCAATGCTTAATAGATGTTGAATGCAGACATGAATGAATGAATGAGCCAAGGAACAAAGCAGCCAGGCCACGACCACCCCCAGAGCTGCCAGCCCTGCCTTACTGCTCGCCCTACCCCACCGCAGCCCTGTGCCTCTTTTCAGCCCTGCCCTCCTCCATGCACACCTCCAGATCCAGATGCCTCCCAAGGACTGGGCAGAAAGGCTCGCCCAGTGCTTGGCTCGCTAGCAGCCCTTGGTGCAGCCACACTGGGAAGAGTGCACTGCCCCTGTTTACAGTAGAGGAAGCTGGGGTCAGGGGTGAAGGAATTTGCCCAGGTTGGAGACCCTGGGGGACTCACATCCAGGGCCGAGGGCCCCTGACCCCTGCAGCACCCCTTCCCCAAGTGCTGTATCCTGCAAACTCGGAGCCAGGCAGCCACTCTCTGCCAGCCGAGGCAGTGGCTCCTGGCCCCTTATGTCCTTGGTTTATTTCATACAAACAGAACTGAGAGCTTGGGATCCTTGTGAAGGCACCCTGATCCTCTTCGGAGATTGTTCCTCCTTTTTGGAGCGCCTCTCCATTAACAGAGGAGAACTGGGCCCCCGGAGGTGAGATGACAGGTCCAGGCTCACACAGACAGCATGCACAGAGCAGGGCCAGAATGTCAGCCCATGAAGACAGGGACGTTCTCCATTCTACTAGTGCCAAGAACAGGGCCTGGCATGGGTGCACTACACACGAGTGCCGCTTGGCTGAGTGATTCAGACAGCTGCTATTCCCAAAGCTCATGTGCACACAGCACCCTCCTCCCGTGCCCTGGCTCCCAGCCAGTAATGCCCAGGGCAGAGACGAGGTCATCCTGGTCTCCACCTCCTGGACAGACTGGAGGTCAGTGTCCATCGGCAAGACCCCTGTCGAGGAGCGTAAGACTTGCAAACACCGCAGTCTGCACTCTGGGATGAAATCTGCTGGTAGCAGGTGCCCCAGGTGGCACAGCTACTTCAGACTGGGCATCTACAGCATCTCGAAGGAGCTTCAGGGAACTAAGTGTGGCTATGAAGCCACCCCACCTGGCCATGGTGAGCCAGCTCCACTCAGAAGCAGAGCGGGGAGGGCTGCCCTTCCCCATGAGCCTGGCAGGCCAGGAGGTAGCACTTGTGTCCCCTCCCCTAGCTGGAGACTCTGAGAGGTAAAGGGCCTTGCCAAGCCACTGGGTAGCAGAGTGTGCATAGGCTGGGACCCAGGATGGACTGATCACCTCCCAGAACTGAAGGATGAGAACAAGGACTCCGGGGCCACCCACAAATGCAAGGAGATGGAGGTGAAGAAGGACAGCTGAGCCAGAAATCTCGTGCTGCATGGAATAGAAACCTACTAGACCAAGTGTGACTGCTGACAAGGGCTCAAGGGACCCTGGGGCAATGGTTTAGGTAAAGGCTGGTGCCCTCCAAAAGCCTGTGGTTCAAGGTTCATCTTCAGAGTAGTGCTATCAGGAGATGGTAGGACCTTTAGGAGGCAGGGCCTAGGGGGAGGTCCTTGGGTCATTGGGGGTGCAGCCTTGAAAGGGATGTGGGACCCTAGTTTCTCCCCCCCCTCTCTCTCTCATCTCTATCCCCCTATCCCCACCTCCAATAATTTGAGAATTGACCATTTGTTCACACACCTGTCCTCACCAGAGACCAAACCAACACAGACACCCTGTCTTGGACTTGGATCTCCAAAGCTGTGAGCTAAACCTTGTCTCTTTAAAAAGTCAGGTGCTGCCAGGTGGGACAGCATATGCCTGTAATCGCAGCACTCAAGAGGCTAAGACAGGAGGATCTTTGTGAGTTCAAAGCCAACCTGAAGTACAGAGTGAATTCAAAGCCAGCCTGAACTACATAGCAGGAACCTGTCTCAAAAATCCAAAAACGGGTTGGGGATTTAGTTCAGTGGTGCCGCTGCCTGCCTTGAAAGCACAAAGTACTGAGTTTCAATCCCTGGTACCAAAAACAAACAAACAAAAAAGAACAAAAGAAAGAAAGAAAAAGTCGGGTGTTCTGTTGTAGTGAACACAAAGCTTCTACATAAAGTGTCTCTGGGCAAAGAGTACAGACAGGGGCAACAAGGAGACCAGTGAATGAGACCCCATGTGACAAAAGATTCTTTGTCACTCCCCTCCCATGGAGAGCTGACATTATCGCCCTGGTCCTTGAATTTGGGCTGGCCTGCAACTGCAACTGCTTTGCAAATGCAGTGGGAACAAATATGCTAATTTGGGGCCTCCATCCTAAGAAGATCTTGGAAGCCCTGAGTTCCTGTGTAAGAAGTGCTGCAGAGTCCATGTGGAGGACGTAAGGCCCTGAGGCCACATGCAGAAATAGAAAAGCCCAGTCTTCCTAGTGGTTTCTACCAAGCCATTAGGCAGATGTGGCCCAGACGACTACAACACCAGCCAAGCCCACCAGCAACAGAAGAACCACCAACTGAGCCCAGTTGACCTCCTGAATCATGACAATAAAAGATGGCTGCTCTGAGCCACTAAGTGTGGGACTGTGTGTTACACTACAATATCTAAATGAAACATCTTAGGACCGGAAAGCCATCAACATCCCAACAAAAGCCAGAGGAGAGTGGCCTTGAATCTTTGCCCTTTAGAGTACCTGGAAAAGGACAGAGAACTTCCCAGCAACTGCACCACCAGTCAGGTTCCCAACTAAGGTTCCCAAGTCCATGTTCCAGGAGAAAGGATGCTGATTGGCCCAACTTGGGTCACTGGCCAATCAGCTGAGGCCAGGAACCATGGTTACACAGCACTGACTTTGAGGCTCCCTGCCTCTGCAAATGGGGAGGGCAGGGAGAGTCTCAGAAGAATAGAAGTATGGTCTGAGCAGTGACCACATGGAGACTGACAAGGAGCCTCCTGAGACAGCAGAAAAGCCCCTAACCAGGACGTGGTACAGGAAGGGCTCGCTGAGCACTGTGTAAAGTGCTGGTGGAGTCACAGGCCTGCGGTGGCTGTGTCACGGGGAGGGCTCTCCTGTGTGGCTGTACTGTCGGATTGATGTGGCTCTGGAGTGCTGTCACTGTTGTTTTTCTGCCTCTTTAAACTGCCTCCAAGGAAGATCTTTTGGAATGGTCTGAGCTTCTTGTAAAAGCCTTTTACATGCTCTCAAGTGTGAATCCAGTAGTAACACTAAAAAACGCTCCATTAAACAAGAATGAGTTCAGAAAATCACAAAAGCTCCCTCTCTGAGAGACAAAGGATGGAGACTGAGGAAAGGCACCGCTCCCAGGGTGCAGGGAAAGGCAGCTGGGGTCTCAGTGGGGCTGGCAGACCCCAAGTGGGTGGGCCAGGGAAGCTGGGTGCCAACCTCTCTCTGAGCAGTCCCTGTGGTGGCGGGGCTGCTCCGCCTCATCTGTGGGGTGTAGCCTGAAATCCACCAGCAAACAGAGGGGACTCCATGGGGCATGGTAGGAGGGCAGGGGCCCGAGCCAGCCCAGGCTCCGGCCTCTCCATCAACTTGCTCACACCGACATTCACATTCCGTCTCCCCGTTGGCTCCTCTATTCTGGTGGGGGGGCACAGGGCCTGGACACCACCCAGGGACACTCTCTTCTCCAGCTGGGCAAAGGTGGCATGAGCCTCTTTGTCCTGCAGCGTGTCCCTACGGGCAGGGCCTCTGTCCAGTCTCCCCTCTGCCTGCTGTGGGTGTGCTCTGCAAGCATTTGACGCCTGAATAAATAAGTGAACGTGCAAATGGAGTCGCCCTACCTGGTGCCTTTGCCCCTTTCCTCCGTCACCTTTTCCTCTTAATGTCCTGCAGTCCCTGATTCAAAGCCCACCTCTCCCCACGACCCACTGCCGGGCAGTCACTGCCGCAGACGTTCGGCCTCCCCGTTTGTAACACAGGGACATGCTCCGGGTGTGCTTACTGGGAGGGTGAGGTGCAGACGCATGAAAGAGTGTGTACCTGAAAAGGTGGGGCAGAATTGAGCTGGTTTGGGTGAGCCCATTGTCACCGGCACGGCCACCTCTGCTACCGTCCCTGCAATGACTCAGTCATTCCTCACCCCCTCAATCCCCTCTCCTGCCCCCCATAACCACACTGCCTCTAGCCCCGTTCAGTGCTTAAGTTACATCACATTTAATCGGTCTTCATCAGGAACAGAGAAATCGGAAAAGAGATTCACAGTGCTCAGAGTCGAGAAAGGGTCAAGTACAAAAAAAAATAGGAATATATTAAGCTTCTGGTTAGACAAAAATGCAAACACAGTGTCTCTCCCAGTCATCCCCGTGTTCTCACCGCTGCACACGTGATCCTGCTCACAGATACACACACTGCCAACGCAGCACACACACTGACGACACACTCCAGCCACCCAACGGCAGAGGCCGGGGAGGCCCAGGGCAGCTCCAACACCAGAGCCCTCCACAGCCCCCCACTGAAATGGAAAAGCTCCAGGGGCACACGCAGGACTCTGAGCCACGCTAGGAGTGGGCACAGGCGGCCTTAGACGATTCTGTTCTCCAGGACGGCCAGCCGCTTCCTCACAGCTTCAAGTGAGGCTGAGTTAAGGAGAGGCGCCCCACTTCCGGTTCCCTCCCGGTCCCGGTCCCGGTCCTGTTCCCTCCTAGTCCCTCTTGCACAGCTTTCTCCCACCCCTACGCCCCACGTGTCCTTCCCACTGTCAAAACTCATCCCTTCGACCTGCTCAAAACAGTGCTTTCCAAAGCCACGGCCGGTGACTGTGAGCCCCGAGTGCCCTCTGAGCCCTGGGTGCCCATGCACCCAGCGGCTGGCTCAGCTCTGCGGGTCCCCACCTAGTCCTGGCTGAGCCTGCGAGGTGTTCAGGGCCCAGGACATCTCTCGGTGGGGCTGGTGATTATCGTGTCACTGTGAGCCTGAGCAATGGGAAGTCTGCAGGCGCCATATTTCCCGAGCACATCCAGGAGCTGGGTCTTGCCTCAGTTTCTCTGTGCACCCTCTGGGGATTTCTGTACTGAAACTGCACCAAGGGTGGTGCATGCCTATCTGGCAGAATCCAGGCCTCCTTCGTCAGATGGATCCTGCCCTGACCCAAGCCCTCAGGGGCCAGGCCCTCCTCCCAACACCCCACAGTGCCCAGGCCCCCTTGCTTCTCCTGCGCCCCAACCCTGGCCTCTAGAAAAGGATATGTTTCCTGGCCAGGGCCTGCAGCAGCCCCTCCACTTTGGCTTGGACTCTCACAATGGCCTCACAGGCACACGGGTCTTCCTCTACAGTAGACAGGAAGTGGGGAAAGAGCAGGAAACTGTTGTGTGGCTGCAGAGGGTGGGCAAGAGCCACTGCCCAGGGACAGCACTAGGAAGACCTAGGGGATGAGGGGCCTAGGAGATCTGGGAAGGCAGAGGACAGAGAGAAGACAGCAGAAGGACAGCACCCCTGGTCATGACGGAGGGGCGACCCTGGATGTCTTCCTGGTTCCTTGGAGCCCAGACAAGGAGCTACAGGAACAGCTCCCGTGCTGGGCACTGCTCAGGGCCTCTGTGTCACCTCGGTGACTCTTCATGCCACCCCCGGATGTCATTAGTCCCAATCACACGTGAGGAATCCAAGTCACAACTTGCTGTGGCCTTCAGTGTTGGAGCCAAGACTCAAACCCAGGCATGCTGGCTCTGGAGCCCGGAGGGCTCTCCACCTGGACCACATGGCCAGGGCACCACAGAGGACAGGGGACGCTGTGGGTTCCATCCTGGCTCCCCAGTTATTAACAGTTGTGCCGCCCCCTCCCTGGCCTCCCTTGGTTTTCCTGTCTATGAAACGGGTGCAGTGATCTTCCTTCTGAGCAAGAGAAGCGATGTAGTATTTGGAGAGCCCTGGGAACAGCGCCATCCGTGAGAAGTGCATTTCATGTAAGTCTGCTGGAGCAGAAGTCGTCCCATTCAGCCCACCCTCCTGGCACTGCCAGCTTCTGCTGTCCATCAATCCACCCTGCCCTCCCTAGCCACCCCCAGGTCAGGGATGGCTGCAACCCACACTCACACTAAAGCCCCTCCTGCCCTCCCAGCCTCCCTCACCCACGCAGATTTTCTTCTGCAACTTCATGCCAATCTGGTTGATGGACTTGAAGTCAGCCGTGTAGAAGTAGTGCTCTGCCACGGGCTCTGAGGCGATTTCCCTCAGCTCGTCCTCAACAGCATTGCCCACTCCCACGGCAAACATCTCAAAACCTGCCAGAGGAAGGAGACAGGAAGGCTGCTGCCCAGACTGTGGAGATTCCAGGACACGGCCAAGCAGCCAACACCAGACACCTCCTGGTGGCAGCTGCTGGAATTACAGGCTCGATGCCTGGAACAAGACCCAGGGAGAAAACCAACATATACTGAGGTTCTATTATGTGTCATACCCTGTACCGGGAGCCTCATTTAATCCTCACAGTTACTCATCTAGTGCCTCATTTTCCTCATTTAATATGTGACAAAAGTGTGGGTCAGGCCAGTCTCTGGTGGGGTTTCCCTCCAACAGCTGGGGCATTCTTAGGGCAGATGTTCAGATGGAAGAGTTTCAAATCTTGCCTACAAAAGGACCATCAAGACAAGCCACTTGTTTGGGGGGGCTGTTCTGTCATAAGTATAAGAGAGATCTGGCCAACAGGTCCCTTTTCATTTAAAGGCACTAAAGTGTTTAGGGCTCTAATCGGAAGGCACCCAGATAAACCGTGAGTGCCCTCTGCTGTCACTGGTGTCGGTGGTCCAGGCAGGCAGCACCTACCGAGGTCCTTGGCCTTCCTGGTGGCATCGTTGATGTAGTCCTGGCTCCGGCCATCCGTAAAGACAATGCCCACCTTCTGGGCCCCAGGCCTGGCACCACTGGACACTGCGAAGGAGGTATCGATGAGATACTTGAGGGCCGCCCCGGTCATGGTACCTTTCTCCATGTAGGACATGTTCCGCACGGCCGCCTTGATGTCCTTCTTGGTGTGGAAGCGGCCCAGGGGGAACTCCTGGCGCACGGAGCTCGAGTACTGCACCAGCCCCACCTGGGCCTGCCTGTCCGACACATCCAGCGTGTCCACAATCTGGTTGATGAATTTCTTCACCAGCTCGAAATTCTCTGGCCGCACGCTCTTAGATCCATCGATGAGAAAGACCAGGTCAGTGGCAGAGCTGCCACTGCCACCCCTGCAAACTGGGAAGGGCACAGAGGCACGGAGATGAGCTTAAGACACCATCATCGGTCCCGGCCGTGGTTGGGCACCTGCCCCACACACACTCTGGGCTTAGGGGCCACCTGCTTTTGTCCTCAGAGATCCTCCCTAAAGTCAGCACTACTGGCCCCAATGTACAGCACTGGAACAGCTGACAAATCACGTAGGTCAGGGACAGTGGCGCTGAGACTTGACCTCAAGACTATGTGAGTCTTTCCTCCATCCTAAACCCACCACCCAGTGTGATCGAGAAAGGGACACGTACCAGGACACCACACCTGTGTACTTTGAAGGCAGCCAAGTACTGGGAGGCTTGGACAAGCTCCCTGCAGGGCAGCACAGCCCCGCCACCTTCCCTCCTTCCCTCCCCAAGCCTCGTGCCTGTCCAGCCACTGACCACTGCAGGTCTTGCCATCGCTGTTCAGGGTGAAGCCCTCGTGGCAGGTGCAGGTGTAGGAGGCCGGGGAGCTGAGGCACACCTGCTCACAGTCGTGATCCCCTGTGGCACACAGGTCTGACACCACTGGGGGACAAGGGGGAGGCCCAGATCTCACAGGGAGAAGTCTCTGGACATCTCCCTCCCTGACCGCAGAGACCAGGGCTCTTCACACCCTCGGGGGAACTGAGACCCCACAACACACCAGATGAAGTCTCAACCCAGTGCAGGAACCACTGCACAGGGAGCAAACTCCCTGAAGAAGGTAAAAATGCCAGTGATCAAAACAAAGGCCCTCAAAAGGGGTAAAGGCCATAGGAAAAGGTCCTTGAATCTGTTCTGTTAACTGCTGCACCACCCAATGCACACAGCACACAGAACTGAACCAAGGATAATGAGTTAATCACCATGTGCGGAGCATTACACGCTACCTTACCCCTCATTCGACCTCAGTTAAAATCCTCCTCTTCTTAGACCCAACGCCCGAGGAGGAGAATCCCACCCTGGCCCCGCCCTCCCAGGCTGGCCCCGCCCCTCGCACCACAGAAAGCCTCCTGGAACTTCTTCGACAGCTTTTGGATGACACCGTAGCTCTCCACGTAGTCCACGTGCTCGTCCTGCGGATCGCTGGCCATCTGCCGCAGCGTGGCCTTGTCCACGCGGCCCACTCCGATGGCGAACAGCTCGATGCCACTGGCCCGAGCCCGCACAGACACTTCCCTCACGCTGTCCTGGGGCCTCCCGTCGGTCACCACGATGACCACCTGTGACACGCAGGACCCTGTGAGGACCAGCCCTCCCCTCCCTGCGTGGGTCCAGCGGGAAGCCCTGCGGACCTTGACAGAAGAGGAACCAGAGCTGCCAGCCCAGGGCTGGTGCGGGTTTGACCCCAGGGAGGAGTCCGGCTCTTGTGTGGTCTCATCCAACTCGGGCCTGGACACCTCGTCTCAGGCAGACAGCCCTGAGGTCATGGAAAGGCCAAGCCCCTGCAAACTAAGGCCTCCGGTGATCTGCCTCCTCCCCGCCCTAGGTACTGCTCCCCTTGAGACTGAGGGGTACCCTGCACGCAAGTTCTGCAGCCAGAGGCTCAGCATGGACTGAATGCCTTGCTCTGAGGCCCAGTTACTCCCCATTGTGGCCAAGCAAGGGCTCCAGCGCCGTGCATTCTGCAATGTTACCACCAGATGGCAGCCGAGGATAACAAAGGGTATCTGCTTCTGTGCCCAGGGAGGAACCAACCTAAGAAGGGAAGATGTCGCCCCTTTATTCCTCCACACCCCAGGATGATGACACCCAGTCCCAGGGTCCACGCTACTCTGCCCAATTGGAACCCCCCCTTCTTTGCTGCTGACTCCTGCGCCCTGCCCTGGGTCCTGGCCTAAGCGCTGTCCTGGGTCTGTGGTAGAGTAGTTAGGACAGGCTGGGGGAGAAGCGTACCTCCACCTTCCAGAGCCTCAGTTTCTCCATCTGTGCAAAGGGTTTGTGGTTGGTCAAGTGAGGCGATTCGGATGAGGAGCCAGGATGGGGCAGCTGTTTGCACCAGTGCCGTTACCTTGGGCCCCCCGGGGGGCGTGGGCACGGCCTCCTCCCTGCTGAGCGCCGAGCTCCCGGCACCACCTAGCTGTGACTGCTCCCTGCCAGAGGCTGGCTGTCCATGAGCTGCACCCCAGCCCTGACTTTTCCTCCATCTGCTCTATGCGCAGGGACGTCGGGGCTGAGCTCCTCTCTGCATGCCCAGCTGGGAACGCCATCCTCCCTGCCCGCCCTGGGCCACTGGTGAGCCCTGGAGATGGCAGCCGCCCGGATCACTGCCATTGCCTTTACCGCCAGTCCCGGCCACGGCATCTCGTGTGGGGTCCCGAGTGGGCCCGGGGAGACCAGCAGGTTGTCTGCTGTGTCTTCTCCTCGAGGACACTGATGGCTGGTGCTGCGTCTGTGCTGTTTGAGCACTGCAACCGCTGAATAGCTGGGCAAGTTGCTTCGGCGCCCTGTGCCTTGGTTTCCCCTTCCGTGAAGCAGGGCCACACCTCCGAGCTGTCACTGGCCTGCTGTGTGCCAGAGTCAGTGTGTGGAGGAAGATAAAGGGGCGCACACACCCCCGCCTGGGCCCTGGGCAGGGGAGGGGGACCTTGCAATGGGGAAGTGCTGGAAGGTGCAGAAAGGGCTGGCCTTGCAGGCCCTGTGCTGAGCCCTGAAACAGTGCCCATGTAGTGCAAACCAGCGGGCTCCTGGGGCCCCGGTGACTGGGCAGCAGGGGCTCCTGCCGTACTTCCCCGAGCCCAGTGCTCAGAGATGAAGCTAACCTGGACTGATGCACCGAGGGCCTGACGGATGTCACGCTCACTCTGAGCACACAGTGCAATGCCCGCAGCCCTCAGATCAGCCCTCTGACCAGGCGTTTCATGGATGGGGAAACTGAGGCACAGTGGGGTGCCGTTACCCCACCACATGAGTGCCTGCCTACCCTACTCCATCTGCAAGGGCGTGGACTGGCCACGGGCCCAAGGTCAGCAGAAAGGAGATGGCCACAAGCTGGCCCAGTGGTGAGCTCCAGGGCTCTGAGGACAAGGTCCCAACCCGGAGGCACCATGCCTGGCTGGGAACTTTTGCCTGCTGACCTCCCCTGGGCTCTCTTTCCCAGGCTCTGGAGTAGCCTCCGCACGGCGGTGGGAGCACAAGTGAAATGCAGCTCGAGCCCATCCGCAGGGCCGGCTCACGCACCTTGCTGATGTCGGGGGACCTGGTGCGACGGCCGTCGGCGTCGCTGAAGGCCCTGGTGATGGCGAACTGGAGGGCCAGGCCGGTCATGGTGCCCGTGGACAGCGGCTGGATGCGGCGCACGGCCTGGAGCAGCGCGACCTTGGAGCTGTGGGCGTGCAGCGGGAACTCGTGCTTCACGGAGCTGGCGTAGTTGACCACGCCCACCCGGGTGGCGTTGGGCCCCACGTCCAGCGACTCAATGACCTGGGACAGGAACACCTTCACCTTCTCAAACTCCACGGGCCGCACACTTCGTGAGCTGTCGACGACAAACACCAGGTCCGTGGGCCGCGTCCGACAGAGGTGCCCTGGGAGGGGGAGGGGAAGAAGCCAGAGTGCGACCGAGGTCGGAGGACACAGCTTCTGAGTCCTCGGGGAGTGGGCGGGCCTCAGCGGCCAGCTGGTCCGTGGTCAGTGTGAGGGAACCCTGAGGGGTTCGCCAAGGCCACAGCTTGGCTTGTGGGAAGACAGTGTCCAGGGCAGCCCTAGGCCCCTCGCTTCCCGCCTGAGCCTCAGCTTCCTCTTCTGTGCAGTGGGCTGACCACCCCTCAGGATGGCTGTCATCCTAGCTGGACAGGTGGGCAGGGAGAGTGGTGGGCACAGCCTTGGGGGCCCCTGTGGTGCCCATCAACGTGGGCATCAGGTGAATCGGCAGAGTGGAGGCCCTGCCCCGGCCTGGTGAAGCCAGCGAGCTCAGGTCTGCCAGGCAGAGCTGGAAGCAGGAATTCCCAATGGCCGCTTTGACAGCCTAGCCAGGTGTGCCCCAAGTCACCCCCAGGGCCCACTGTGGCTGCGGACCTAGGGAGGCTGCAACACGCTCTGGATCACAGAGGTGTGGGGAAGGGCTGATGGGCGGGGGTACTTTTCTCCCAAGATCCGCACTCATCAAAGCCCGAGGACAGCCAGGTGTAGCGGCACACCCCTGGAATCCCAGCACTCTGGAGGCTGAGGCAGGAAGACAGGAAGTTCAGCCCAGCCTGGGCAATTTAGTGAGACCTTGTCTCAAAATAAAAAATTAAAATAGGGCTGCAGTGAAAAGGCTGGGGGTTCAGCCCCCAGCCTTAAAAGAAAACAAACCAAACCTGTGGGAATGAGGAGGCCGAGGCTGTAACTCAGTGGCAAGGTGCCTGCCCACCATGCACAAGGCCCTGGCTCTAGCCCCAGTACCACAAAAGAAAAAAGAACAGCAGTGCCGAGAGCTCAGCCCTGGGTCCCCGGCACCCACAGCCGAGGTCTGAGTCCTGCCACGCCTGGTCCCTGGGCAGCCTGCCCTTACCCTTGTCAGCACCTCCTTCGCTGTGGCTCCCGCTGCCTCTCCTGCTCCCTACCCCGATCCTGGATCCCAGGGAGCCTCTGCCCACCTCCAGCTGTCATCGGAGGCCTCTCACCCAGTGTCCCCATGTCACACAACCCCTCACCTCTGGACTGGGGGTCAAGGCTGAGGCTGCCTGGGGCCTGGAGCAGCAGCAGGGCCCAGAGCCCGAGGCCTGCCGAGACGACCCTCATGGTGCAGGCTGTGGCTGGCACGGTGTGGGGGCCAGCGGCCCATCTTATCAACCTTGCTGGCCAGGGGTGGGGCCGGGCTGAATGGAGGTGTGTGTGCCTGGGGAGGGAGCGCCCGCCCTGCCCTGCCCTGCCTGCAAGAGGCCCCTCCAACCACAAGGGCTCCTTTGCCTGCAGAAGCAACCAGAGCCGAGGCTGGAATTCAGGAAATCTCAGGTGGGCGGGGGTGGCTGAGCCCGTGCAGACTTGGAGCTGCCACCCAGTGACACCTGAGGGCAGTGGCCTCACCCCAGCCTGCCCGGCACCTTCACCCCACACCCCAGTCCTTCCCCACCCACAAGTCTAACCCCAAATCCTCATTTACATGCTTACTATGCCTGGCTGTCCCTGCCTCTCCTCCCCAACTGCCCCCTGACTCTCCTCAAAGGCCACTGGGCCTTTGCAGATATGGGACCACCTGCCCAGAGCACGATTTCCTCCAGCTGCCTCTGCCTAGCACAATCCTGCAAGGTCCCGACTGCAGCCAACATGGACTCGTGCCCTTAATGTGCATAAGTGGCAGGGAAGGTGATGAAGAACAGATGTGGGCACCGGATCTCCTGGGATGGCTAAACACCACCTGCGTGACCACAGACGAGTTACTTCACCTCTCTGGGCCCAGAGGGTCACCTGGAAATGAAGGCTGACACCTGCGCCTGCCTCTTCTGGTGACCTGGGAGCCACGCTGTTGTTCCCTGCATTCATGGGAGAGGAGCTCAAGCAGAGAGACCTGGTGTGACCTGCCTGACATCACACAGCTCAGTGTCACTGCAGGGAAAGGGCCCAGGCCTGACTCAGCCCCGCTTCTGGCTCCTCCATGCCCGCCTCTCCCCAGGCCCCCGGCTGTGCCCTTCTGCCCCACCCAAGAGCTGGACGTCTCTGCTGCATTCATCTCTGCACCCGGGATGGAGAAGGCTGAGGCCAGTGGTTGGACGAGGTTGCGTGCAATTTCCTGGCTCCCAAAGACTCATGTGTTGACACGAGGTCAGCAGATAAAATGGGGTGTGATGGCCCATCTGTCAGATGGGGAAACTGAGGCCCACACACATTCACCGACTAGCCTAAAGCTGCCCAGCCAGGTTAGGAGCGGGCAAGCGTAGAAGTGCCGTCCTCCTGTGTGCCCACCTTATGAAAAGTCAGTGAGGGTCCTTTCCTGTTTAATCTTCATTCGCTCCTGTTCATGGCTCCCCCAAATCTGAAAGCCTTCGGGGCTCATGGCTCCTCTTCCCTCCACATCCCAGAGGTCTAATTCTCTACTCAGGAGTAGCGGCGGGGTCTCCAGGACCAGGGTGCACACCCTTCCAGGTTGGGTTGTAAATGTGTCCCCTCCCTCCCCGGGGATCTTTCCTGTCTCCGTCACCACTGCGCCCCTGGGAATCTGCAGAGCAGATGAAGAAGTAAATGAAAAGAAGGAACCAGTGGCAGGTGGGTCCAAGTCTCCCGTCACCCACCAGAGGTCACACCAGGGCCAGCGCTGCCGATCCTGGTCCTGGCCAGCGTCTCCTCCCTGAGGACAAGGCACAAAGCCCTGTTGGCTGTGAGGTGGCTGGGCCCATGAAGCCGCCCTTTCAGGCGCTGTGAATGGCAGGTCTGTGAGGGAACCGTGGGCACACAAGGCCTCCTCTCTCAGGGCCACAGGCCGGCTTTAAAGACTGGGCCTGGCTTCCAGGGAGAAGGGCACTGTCACATTCCGCAGCGAGGCCACAATGGGGCTGGAAGTCCCGCATATACATCGGGGAGAGAAAATAAATATTTATATATTTTTAAATGTGAAACATTTTTCCCTAGGACTCAAAATTGGGAGCAGTGTGTCTGGTGTTAGCCAGAGGGAAAGGTGAGCATGGGAAGGGGTCTCTTCTGGGCCCCTGGGGTGACCCTGGGGGACTCCTGACCTCTGCACCACTTCGCTTTCCGGAAGCCTTAAGTCCTAGTGTCAGCCCAAGCGGCAGCATTCTTGATGGCCTGTGGGGCCGGGCGGGGGCTCTGTGGGAACCTGCAGGACCCCCACTGCGGTGCTCCTCAGAGCAGACCTGGCCATCCGGCACCGCGGGGAGGGAGTCACAGTCTCTTCCATGGTGGACTGTCCCCTTGGTCCCTGGCCATTCTTGGCACAGTCTGGCTGTACCCGTGTAACCCTGCACTAGCACGATTTATTGACTTAAAGATAAAGATCTTCAATTAACTCTGGGACAACTCACTTTTTAAAAATTTCTCCTCTTCCTAATGAGTAATAACCATGAAATGGCCTGTTTGAGGTACAGTTCATGTGTTTATTCCAGTGCACGTTCAAACTAATTGAACTTAACTTCTCCATAGAGCAGAAAAAAATCCTCCTGCGTCTGCCAGCCATGTGCATGCCCGATGTGGAGGGGTCCTGAGACTCGGGAAGGACTTTGCAGTGGGACAGCTGGGTTGATCCCAGCCTCTGTCACCTGACAGCAACAGGGACCCCAAGTCCCTCCCTCCCTTTTCTACTCTTCAGCTTCAAGTCTGTAAAGTCGGGTCCCTGGGTTAACGTCACGGGCTGCTTGTGGAACGCAAGGCAGTGAAGGCTGTGTGCGTGTTTTCTGTTCTTTGCAGGTCTTCTTGTACCAGTCAGCAGAAGAGACGCAGCGGTAACAAACATGCCCTGAGTCTCAGTGGCTCTGCTGGGGCTTCATTTCTCTCCCATGACATAGTGAAGCAGCCAGCAGGAGCCTGTCCATATGACCTCTCCCGAACTATCTCTGCCCGGCTGTCCCATGGCCTCCTGTCTGGCCGCATGGTTAAGAGAGACTGCTCCTAGCTCTCAGACAAGGACCACACGCAGTATGGCTCCTGGATGCCCAGGGGTGGGATGTGGGCACTTAGCAAGCACTGACAGCCTCTGGCACCCTCCTGTGGCCTCCGCATCCATATCAGAACTCAGACTTGGCCTGGCACAGTGGCATAGCTCTATCTAGTCCCAGCTGCTTAGGAGGGTGAAGCGTGAGGATGGCTTGAGCCCAGGTGTTCGAGGCCAGCCTGGGCGATGTAACAAGACCTGTTCTCCAAACATTCAGACTTAGCTGGGCGTGGAAAGCCTTTCCCAGTGTTCTGGCCACTTCTTCAGGCCGTTGCTGGCCTCCTGTCTCTCCCTTCTTCCCTGCCTCTCTCCAACCGTCCCGCTCTCTTCCCTGCTGTAAGATGAGTCACTCTCCTCGGTCTCTGCTGGTACCTTTTTTCCCTTACTTGGAGCAGCTCTGTATCCCACCTTACCCACTGAGTGGCTCTTGCCCTGTGAGACCAAGCCTCCGAGATGGATGTCCCCCTGTTCACCACTTATTGTCAGTCTGGGTCTCAGCACGGTGCTGCGTTTCACCTGGGAGAATGTGGGGCTCAGAATCTCAGGCTCTGAGGGACTTCAATGACCACTTGGACCAGTATATCCAAGCCGGGCCGGGCAGCCCACTCACCCAGAGAGGCGGTACAATGCTACCTAGGCCGGTGCCTTCTGGGGCCAGTGGGCCAGCCATGCCCTGGGGCTTTGATCAGGAAGGGGCAGTGAACACCGGGAGGGAGGCGTGGGGTTGGCCCTGGGATTCTCAGCTCGCCGTGGCTGCCCACCCCACGGCCCTGCAGCCCACCTCTGAGTGCGGTGCGCCTGCACCAGGCGGTTCCCACAGACACGCAGTGAGTAAGCCACCGGAGAGTGGTCGCCCTCGAAATCTCCCTCAACCAGGACTAGGAGCTGAGCACAAATATCCAGCCTCCCTGCCTCCACCCAGGACACTCCCAGATGTGCTCTCTGGGGTGCTGGGAGGGGCTCTGACACGCACCATCTGTGTGCGTTTATCCCTTCCCTGACTCCCTCTCACCTCTCTCCTTGTGTTTCCCAGAATTGCCTGCACCCGCATCCTTGCTGGGGCTGCTCAGAAAAGGTTGCCCCACTTCTGGAGTCCACCACAAGCCTGTGTGTGGGGCTTCTAGGGAGGGGAAGAGAACAGATCTCTGATGGTGAAGCCGCTGGACAGCTGGGACTGCAGGCTCTGGGCGGAACCCTCACCTAGATGCCTTCGAAAGTTCTCCTCTGTTCATATTTCCCTCTGTTCCCTCAGACTGTTGCTAAAGTCTGGCTAAGATTTTACAGAAGAAAGATACAAACTCCCAGGCAACTCTGCATTTCTAAGCCGTCTGGTGGCTCTGCTGTAACTGACCCCCTGCTCCCCAGCCCCATGTGGAGCTCCAGTGCTCAGCCTGGGTCAGGGGGGCACCCCTGCTCGGAGCTTGCTATCCCTACCCAGCTCTGTTCAGCTGGGAACTCAGCTGGGCCCCCAGGGTGCCAGGCCCTGATGATCATGGTCCCATCTCACCCTTAGCAAAACGCCTCGTTCCGTACCACTGTCTTTAATGACACGTGACCGGCAGACCCCCTGCACCCTGGCACCTGCTCCCAGTGTCATTTCAGCTCCTCTCTTTTCCTCTTAAAGATTTGAGCTCTGTGGGCTGGGGATGTAGCTCGGTGGTGGCACCATGCCTGCCTGGTAAGTGCTGGGTCCTGAGTTCAATTCCCTTCCAAAAAATAAAAAGATTTGAGCTCTGATTTAATGCAGTCCTCCAGCTAGAAGAACAGACCTTTTCTCCTGACCTTTCCAAATCCCTGCTGCTTTCACCTTCACCTCAAAACAGAGCTTCAGCCTACATAGAGGGGATTCAGCTAGCTCCCCTCTTCCCCTACTTTCTCTTCGGTGTCAGACCCCTTGCTCTATGCTGACCAAAACAGGAGACATTCAGATTGCTCTTGCTGCCACTAGAGGTTTAGTGAGGGAAAAAGAAAACCTCCTTCCCGTGGAAAAAGGGTAAGGCATCCATGTTCTGTTGCTTGGTAAGAAATCACCACTAACTCAGCATCTCAAAACAGCCCTGCATCACCTCAGTCTCTCTCGGCCAGAAGTCATGATGTAACCAAGGCAGACACTGCTTAGTGTCCCATGAAGCTGGGGCCA